GGGGGGTGGGTGGGGGGGGGGAGGGGGCAGAGAGAAGTATTGGTAAAGTTCACAGAGCTTTGGGTAGAGAGTTTTGAGTTTCTGTGCTCCAAAGTGAAGTCTTCGGTCCCGACCGTCAGATGAAACCTAACCGCCAAAGCCTTTGATTTCTGTCCACTGACTTAGCTACGCATTTCTGAATTATAGGGTACCCAGAAGTTTTTTACAATGTCTATTTTTAATTTAAAAAGTTTCCATGGTTATTTTTTTTTATGTTGAGCCTGCATTTATGTTTACCGTGTGGAGTAGGCTTAATGTCTCTATATAATCAGGGCTGACGTATACAGTGCCATATCCAAAAGCAGATTCAACATCAACACCAAGCTTATTGAGAATTTAAGAACAGTGATGCTTAATTGATACATTAGTCCCTATTAGTGTGTTACCATCTCGCGTTATTTTGTTTCGGCCATTAAACTAAACTTTGTTTTGTATCATTACGCTTTCATAACTTGATATATTTAATGTTTAAACAATAACAAAAGTGAGGTGTGATCCGTGGATTGTATTTTAATCTTCCCCTGTTTGTCTCCTCACAATCTGATATTCGCTAAACTCCTGCGATGGCCTGACTTTGTAATCCTTTTGGTGCTTACGGTAACTTTGGCTACCGGTTAAGCCTCAGCACTTATTTGCATATTCCGATCGTCTATCCCCTGGTACGGACCCTCGTGTATCCGGGTGTCTGTGAGGGTAACTTACCCCCAGATAACCTCCTTTCATCTTCTGCTTCTCTAGTGTAACTCAATCCGTAGAGTTCTCTGCATTGCACGCTTCAATATTATATGCGTTTCCATGCACTGTAACCCCTTCTCTGTCCCATCACAGAGGGGCGAAGCAATAACTTAGACAGACGTGACCCTCTCTGTTTAAACTAAGACGCAGCGAGGTCGGGTCTGTAACACCTGTGTGTATGACGCGAGACATTCTGTTGTTTGACACGAATAACATTTGTGTTAAATTAATACAACTCAAATGCGTTTATTGCTTAGTGTTTAACACGAATAACTTTGCTGTTTTAAATTAAGGATTGGATGAACAAATCTTTCAGACCGTCGAAGAATGGTCTTTCTGTGTAGCGTTATGAACCAGATATTACTGTAAATAAGCATATATGATTTACCCCAAGTGTGGGTAAGCAAAAAAGTTTTGATTTCTGATTTTAAGGAAATTATTTTCTATTATTCGAGCATCAAAATCGTTACAGGTGCTTGCAACGCGCAGAGCACCACAAAGTCAGTGGCTGACTGCGTGTACGAAGAAAGACGCCAAGCTCTGACGTGACAAGTGACGCCTATGTTGTTCCTAAGTAGTCAAGATTTAGTTTTTGTCCCCTGCTCTGAATCAATTAATCACGCTTGGTGTAATTCCCTTCTGAATATCCGATTACGCGGCTCTGTGGATGCTGCATGCTCTAGGAACAAGGATGACGGAAGGGCGTGTGGGAGATGGAGTGAGGAGGAGGAGGAGGTCACAGACTACACGTGACTGCAGTCAGCTGAGACAGGCGATGGGAGTCCAGCATACAGAACGCACAGATACACACAGAATGTCTATATTAGCACTATCTTGCTGAATGTTTAGTAAACGTCATCGTAATTGACGATCAAGGTTTAAGCCGTTTGGTTCTTTCTGACCATCGTATTCGAGGGTGTCCAAAGTCTCTAATTCCGTTATGTCTGTACTTCTAGATTTGTTCTGACATTCTGAAATCTTGGTTTTTAAATTTTTGTAGGAAATCCTGAGGTGTAGATGGGATGATAATTATCATAAAGAAACAGGGTATGAGAGTATGGACTGGCTTAGAGTGAGTCAGTGTATGGACCGGTAGAAATCTACAGTAAAATCAGCAATAAACCTTCGGGTAGCAATGAAATGTGGACAATGTAAGGACTGTGTTTCATGGAGTGAGTTAGCCTGTTTCCTTGTAACTTAAGCAAGAATCAGTTGTGAGAGTTTCATTCATCGAAGACACTTGATTTATTTTCGGATTCTTAACAGAGCTGTGGATGACATGAGGTCAAACCCACGTATTGAGTGCCACATGGCATGTGACAAACCAACCTCTGACATCTCTGCAGTTCCGCAATGGGGGTTCGCTCTATTTTAGTGATTGTAAAGGTCGAGCACGTTAGTTGAGGTGATGACAGGGAGATCCCATTAGCGCGTAAGACTTCGGGTTGCATGTGTTCACGAGGCACCCTCTACATTTGTGTCAACAACTACAAGTCCTTAATCTATTTACGGCTTACGTTAATACAGGGATGTCCATGCGGAAGATCCACATGATAAGAAAATAAATAAACATTAAGAAACTGAGTCAGTTGGCCTATGCTGAGAAACAGCTTAGGAACTTAAAAATATTAATTTACCAGTTGGAATTGCCATTATGTTTGATGTCATTTATAATATAGGATTTTGATTTCGTAGTTTTTCTCCTTAAATTTGAAATTTGGTTCTGTTAAGAGTAAGGAAGTAAAAATGTACACAGCCGTATATACAGAATACTCCACGGTGCAACCCAAATGACCACGGATGATTCACGCAGGTCATAATTTTTTTGTAATGCTGTATCTCCTTATGTAATGAAAGTAATTACCTGACACCAGAAAATTCAGAGGTGCCCCCATCGTCAGGGTGATTGCCCTGATGATGGAGCCAGCAAGAATCTCTGAAACGTCGGTAAACTTCTACAAGATTACACGGCACAACGACCTAGGAAACCGTCATCTTCAGTTGTTCGTCTTATTTATTAATATTTAATTACAATTTATGTTTCTGTTACTTTGCATATTCTCTAAACCCTGGAAACGGAAACTCCTCTAAATAATATTGAAATCAGTCAGTACCTAAAATAAATCACAAGACATCTGCGCTCTAAGAACCAATTATTTAATGATGTTTAGAGAAATAATCGCTGTTTAGAGCGAGAATCATATGAAATACAAAACGCAAGGTTAATGACTATTAAAGCAGGTGGTATATATAGTTACCACTTGGCTTTAAGTGAATACTTGGGCGTTCGTTACTTGATATGACCTTCCAGGTCCGTAGCTGATAATTCCCACCCTAACTGTTTGAATCTGAGGAGAGCCGGATGTCTTTATAAGGATTCGCCGTGCTGATGCGGCAACTTCTCGTACGTCTCTGTACAGCTTGTAGTCTAATCGCTTTTTATCGGGCGTTGAGGATTAATTGGCCCTGTACGTCACAGAATAGTTGATAGGTTCTGTTTTTGAGTATTTCTCTGAGTAAGTGAGTTTTTCCTTCGTGTGCATAGAATGTGAAAGATTGCAAAGACTTCTTATTACCACAAAACATGTGGAAATAAACTTAACGTCTCAGTTCTGTAAGTATAATTATTCTCTTCAATCATTCATAACACAATAATTTTATCTTACAACTACCACTTTAGTAACTTACGGTGTGTACATAGACATATTTATCCCTCGAGATGTGATTCACTCCTTTGGAATCTATTAGCAATAAACAGCAAGCAATCTAAATGAAGATATAATATGAGAAGCTTAAACCTGAGGTTAGATGTTACTGGTAGGGTCAGGCATATCAGATTCTAAAAGCAATTAGGCCTACCTCGAATTCATTAAGCTGCCGTTAAACGTTAAGTTTGTCGACGGGAAAAGGAGCTTCTGCGAGGCAAGTTTCGCCATCTTCTCGCGTCCTCGTCTCTTCGTCGTTTTGCCTGTCTGCGTGTCATGATCAATACGAGAGCAGTGGAAGGCGAAGTGTGGCTGGCGCGTTGAACGGACGTGAGTGGTCCGAAACGGAAGACCAGTGACTAGATCCTTTGAAGGAATTCAACGACAGGCATTTTTTGAATTTCATAGAAGTTTACCTACGTTTCAGAAGTACTTCCTGCCTCTGTCATCAGGGCGATATATCACCTTTGGTGAACTTCTACCAGACTACACGGCACTACAGCCCAGAAGACGGATTACATCACTTCGACAGACCCTGGACCTGCAATAGAATTGTCTAATCTCGGGAGATTTTACTGCATCTCAGTTCTCTTTAGATTTTAGTAATAAACTTTCTCACTCATTCGCATTATGGGAGTTCGGGCGAAGGTGCGCTAGTTGCCAG